TGTGTGATCTTGTAGAGTCATAGCGCAGCAGTGATAGAAACGTTCGTACGGTTAAATGAAAGGAATCTATTGTACAGAGGTAGAGATCTCGTTAATTGGTCTCCGGCGTTACGCAGTACTATCTCAGAGATCGAAGTCGAGGATTTCGTAATAGATGGCAAGACGCAACTCCGGTTACCTGGTCACAATGACAAAGTTACTGTTGGCCAATTAATCAAGCTGGCATATCCGATCAAAGATTCGAGTGAGTGTAAAAATAAATATTAATTAAAACTAATTTTCATATGCCAATTTTTTAATGCATTTGGTTTTACAGAGGAAGAACTAATAGTTGCAACGACTAGATTGGAGACGATTTTTGGGGATGTGGCTATCGCTGTGCATCCGGATGACGAGAGATATTCGAGTTATATTGGACGACAAGTTTTACACCCTATAAAAGAAACGTTCATACCTGTCATAGCTGATTCCTCAGTCAAGAGAGATTTTGGCACTGGTAAAAAGTAAAAAGAGATTTATAGAAAATAAATTTATAAATATGTCGAAAAATGTATAAAAAGAGAGAGAGAGAGAGAGAGAGAGAAAGTAGATTGATAAGTTTTGAATAAAATTTATTTCTTTTATTATTATAATTGTTGAACTAATTAAAAATATACATATTTCTCTCTCACACAGGTGCGGTAAAAATCACACCGGCACACGATCGCTTGGATTATAGCATTGCCAAAAGACACGATCTTCCAGTTATTATCGTCATCGACGAGGCTGGTAATATGACAGATGTATGCAAAGAATACAAGGTATGACCTCCTGGAAAAGATGCATAGCTCAACGTTCCCTCTTTTTCGAGATACATATATTTTTTTAATATATTTAATATCTTTATATTTTTTTCTCATATATCTATATACAATGTTTTTATTCAATATATTTTTATAGAATATTGGTTAAATATATTTCTATATTTTTTTTACTTATTTTATTATCGATTTATTTTCTTGTTTATTGTTGTCAATAATTTTAGGGACTATCAAGGTTCATCACACGGGAGAGGCTCATCAACGAGTTGTCGACGCGAGGTATCGTGAAGAGCGTAGAGGACCGTCACCGAATGATATTGCCACGATGTTCACGTACGCACGATGTGATTGAGTATCTGCCTAAGGAGCAGTGGTTCGTGCGATGTACGACAATGGCTAGACGAGCGTACGAAGCCGTAAAGAATGGTGAATTAAGGATCGATTCGAGCGACAGCGGCCACGAACAATTGTGGTATGACTGGCTTGAAAACCCCAGGTAAAATTACTATATATGATTATTTAATTATGAAACAAATTGATAAATAAATGAGAGTAAATAAGTAAATAGATATATAAATAACTAAATTGTTCAATAAAGAAATAAGTATGCAAAGAAATACATAAAGAAGTGAATAAATAAAATGCAAGAATAAATAAATAAGTAAACAAATAGAATAAATAGATGAATACATGAATGACTCTAAACATGCAAATATAACTAAATAAATTTGATACATTAAAAAAAAAGAATTCCTTCTTTATTTCTTCAGGGATTGGTGTGTGTCGAGACAATTGTGGTGGGGTCACCGCATTCCGGCGTATTCCGTAAATCATGGTGACAATAATAACAATAATAGTGGTGACAATGATGTCTTTCCCACTAGTAGTATTAGCAACACTTCGTGGATAATCGCACGATCCGAAAAAGAGGCATATTCACGAGCACGGGAGAAATATGGAGATACAGTGAGCATACATCAGGATCCTGATGTCCTTGACACGTGGTTCTCTTCAGCAATTATACCATTTGTCACACTTGGTTGGCCGGAACATGTTAGTTTTTCTATTATTACTATAATTGTATTTTAATATATTCTTTATTATTATTGTTATCATTATCTTTTTGTTATTTATTTTTATTATTGTATTATAATAGTTTGTTATTTTATTTTTATTATTTTTACATGTTACACTTATTATTGTCGTAGACGAAGGATATGGCAAAATACTATCCATTAACACTGATGGAAACTGGTCATGACATCTTTCTTTTCTGGGTGGCGAGGATGGTGATGTTAAGTCTAGAAATGACACAAAATTTGCCATTTAGGGTATATAATTATATATATAATAAATTAATAAATAATAAATTATTTGTGCGCTATATATATATATATATATATATATATATATATATTCTGTTAAAGATTTATGTATATTGTAAAGATATAGTTTTTTTAGCGTAAATGTGCTTGAATTGATGATTATATATATGCAATTATATATATGCATAGGAGGTTCTGCTTCATGGTGTCCTGTGTGACGCTAATGGCAAGAAAATGTCCAAGAGTTCTGGCAATGTCATCTTACCAGAAAACATTATAAATGGGTGTAACTTTGAAGTGAGTATTCTTCAAACTTACAACATACATATATATTAAAATTATATTACAAAAATAGAATTAAAATGCAATTGTAACATAGGAATTGAATGCACAAGCAAAGCAAAATCACGCAGCGGGCATTCTCAGCGCTGACGAATTGCAGCGAACACTGCGTGTCAACGCGAAATCATACTCTGCAGGAATACCAGATTGTGGCGCAGATGCTTTGAGGCTATCGTTGTGCGCACGTAATATTAAGAGTAAGTAAATTAGAATATTAAGAACATGAATATGAAGAACCTGAAAAATTATTTAAAAGTTGAAAGCATTTAAAAAAATTTAAAAATCTTAAGAAGAATTGTAAAAGAAACTTTTACTATAGATCGTACCATCAGTTTCGACATAGATGATTGTCGCACAAGCAAGTATTTCTGTAACAAAATCTGGCAAGCGAGTAAATACATATTACTGATGAGAAAGAATGGTGAAGAAAGCAAACAGAATCAACAACACGGAGACAAAGAAAAAAAATATCTAAGTAGTCTGGATCAATGGATCTTGAGCCGATTGTCATGGATGGTGGAGACAGTGAACAGTGCGTTTGCTGAGCGAAATTTCCATAAGGCGATTGCCGCAATTCGTCAATTTCTGCACTACGAGTTCTGCGATCTTTACATGGTACAATGTAGTACAATATTTTATGAAGTATGTAAGAATGTTAAAAATATTGATCATAATAATAATAATGATAATGTAGTTTGTATCTTAATTAATTTTAATTTAATAATTCCTTAAAATCATATAATATATACATATAAAATTTCTTTAAACACAGGAGGGCACAAAATTCGGATTCAGAAGCGACAATGCAGCCGGACATTCCGATACTCTCGCAAAATGCCTGGAAGTATCGTTGCGTCTTCTCGCACCCATTACGCCTTACTTATCGGACGATCTATACATAAGACTCGTTAAGAAGAATTTGCCGGGATTTCAATCAGTCTCCTCGTTACTGGAGACCTCTTATCCGGTGCCGTATGAGGTATGTATGTATATATATCGATACATTCATGATTTTTTCTCTTTCTCCTTCCTTCTTTTCCTCTTTTTCCTCTTCCTGAACATTATTATATATGTTAAATAATTTATTTTTATATAATCTATTTTTATTTGTTTAACAGTTCGAGCATTTAAGAGATGTTGTATTGGAGGAAAAGGTATGCGAGCTTGTAAATATGATAAATGTGATCAGAAGTTGTATGGCGAATGTGAGCAAGAAATCAAATCCCGAAGGTAGGTCTTGATAATTGGCGAAACAAATATGCTAATTAAATAATTCAAATTTTTAATCAATTTATTACGAAAATTAATATTATATATAAAACGTACATACATATGCACAAATACATATAGACAAATAGTAAATAGCAATAGTGAAATGAAAAATTGTATATGAAAAATTTCCCTGTTTTTTCTCTTTTCAGTTAATATCCTGGTCAATAACACCCATGATTATGATTTTTATCAAGAAAATGTGAACCTTATTAAAGGAGTGAGCAGAATCTGGAATGTGCCTATTCATTTAACAGAATCGTTTAATGATGGCAATTTTCATAATGAGACGACAAGAGACAATAACGATAACGGCATTTACACTACTCGATACATACACACGAACGATTGCTCGTTACTCATAGCTGTTACGGTAAAGGAGAAAACAGTATTTTATCATTTTTTAATATACAATATATAAATATAACGAAGAATTATATACAAATCTATGTTTATATAATTATTCATAGTAATTAATAAATATCGTACATATACTAGAAATTATCGATCAATATTAATATATTTTCTATATTTTTAATAAAAAATAAAAAGAGAAAGTAATACAATATATTTATATACAATATATAGTATCTCTATTTCTAAGATTATATTTCTTATTACTATCTTTTGTATAAAGGATTTACCATGCTTGTTATTTATCTTGCAGGATGCATCAATGTTGGAACAGATTAAAAAGAATATTGCAAGAAAGGAGAAATTGGAAAAGAGAAATCAAGAAAAAGTGAATTTTTGCTAGAATATATGATATCTACTATATCTGAGAGCTATAACTTCTCTCCTTCACATACTTATTAAATAAATTATAATATAATGTTTTCTGAGATTTCTTATAAATAAAATCGTGCAAGTTGATTGCGCATACATATAATTAAATGCAGAGTAGTGACTTCACGCAAATGCAATTGCAAGAAATAATGATTATTTGTTTAAAATTATAGAGCATCATTTTGTTCACATGGTGCAAATAAATTATAATACATAATGCTTTTTGGAATTATATATACAATGTCTGAAGTTCTGAATCATGCCTTTTATCTAATTTTCCTGATATGCTAATGTTTAGAGTCTAAATTTCCGCGATTAAAATTTTTAATTATTAAAATTTTAGTGCCATTCCTTCGATTTTCTTTATTCTTTATTCTAAGATTAAAGCTAAATATTTCCTTCAATTTAGACTTTTCCCCTCAATCCCTGTAATTATTCTAATTAAATTACATGCGCACGGAATGGAAATGTTGCGCCTTTTGCCTTATTTGCTCCCTCATCCTTCACTCTAACATATGATCACGTGGAAAATAGAAGTATCGCGAACGCGACTAGCGCAAGAAAGAGAAGTAGTAAGCAATAAGATATGAGAAAGTAATTAATAAAAAATGTCTTGTAAAAGGAGCGGCATAAATTAATCGGCGAGCGTCACAAAACATCAGATAAAATCTTTAACAGAACATATTTTTCCAATCGACGTCATTTTAGGCAAAATTAGGTTAGATTGGCGAAACGGAGTAAATATTTACACTCGAAAGAATCATATACATTGTCAATTAACTGACATTTATAACAAATATATTGTTGAAAAATGATTAAAGAAACATTGAACGAATACTTGGAAATTTTGGCTGGCCATGTTTTTGATAATGATAAGCTGGTAATTATATTGCGAACACGTTCATATATAATGCTTATCTATATTTTGTATATAAATATAATTAATGCATAATTAATATTTTTAGGTCACTTATAAATGGCTAAGTAATGAGTTACACGTTCATGTGAATATAGCAAAACAGATCTTATGGGAATTCTACCAAAAATATAAAAACAACAATATTGAATGCACATATTTATTAATAGGCTTTCTAAAGGATAATGAAATGCGTGTAGAGATAGTAAAAGAATCTACTTTGTTGAAGGCTAAAGAAAAGTTCAATAAAATCATTTCGGAGCATCTCTACAGTGTTCACAAACCTCTTGCAGATTTGGAATTACTCGCCACTTCTGGTCCTGGAAATGTAAATTACAGTGCAATAAAATGTGATGCCTGTAAAGAGAGAAGTGATGAGGAAATGCAGCTGTTACGATGGGGTACAGCTGCAAAGAAAATTACATTGGAAAATAGGACAAATTCAAAGCCTGTAGATTTTGTAAATCCATCAAAGGTAGAAAAGAATTCCAATACAGCAAAGAAAAGTGGATTTAATAATTTGTTCGGTATGACTGGAAAGCCAAAGAATTCAGAAAAATTAAAATCCTTTCAAGAACAGAATAAATGCTCAACAAAGGAAGATAAAAATTTTTTAAAGGAAACAAAATTGACAAAGAAGGAGGAAGATTCAATGAAAAAAGATGAAGCTTTAAGGAAGGAAGCTAAAGAATTAACAGAAAAGGAAAAACATTTTGTGGAAAATGATAAAGATTCTGTACAAAATCATAAAAATTCTTCTAAGAATAAAGGTTCTATGGAGAAGAATAAAGGCTCTGTCAATTCTATCACTAAAAAAGTGTCTCCAAAGAGCACTTCTGTAAAGTCAGGAAACTTGGATAATTTTTTCGGAAAACTTGCATCTCCTTCAAAGCCTACAGAAATGATATTAACAGAAAAGAAAAACGATAATGCCAAACAGGAAGAAGTTACAGAAAAAAGGAAAGCTAAAAAAAAGGAGAATTTACGTGGAAAAAAGCGTAATAGAAGCAAAGAAACAGAAGAAACTGCCAAGAAACGGAAAAGAATTGTTGTCCAGAGTGATTCCAGTGATTCAGATATACAGAGTGACATAGAGATGGAAGAATCAGTTCCTGAATCCCCAGAGCCTGAAGCTGTTGCAAGATCCAAAAGTCCCTCTCCAGCAAAAGTGAAATGTGAAAATGGCAAAAGAAAGATGCTAAAATTAGTCAATAAGACTTATAAGGAAGGGGAATATTTTGTAACAAAGAAAGAACATGTTTATGTAAGCTGTTCCGAGGACGAAGAGGAGAAAAAAGAGGAAGAAAGGAAGAGAGAGGTGAAGAAAATGGAAGCAAAGATGGAGAAAGTGAAGAAAAAGCAATCCACGTTGACAGATTTTTTTAAGAAGTCTTAGATTTGTGTTTTAATTTTGAAAGTTCAATTAATTCATAAATATTTGTTTATTCTATATTTTTATAAATTATTTATTAAGATATAGATGATTGAATTAAACGATAAATATTATATACAACATTAGTAACGATAAGTGATATTCGATATTAATATTTTTGTGTAACGCGATATTAAAAAATTTTTTGAGTTCATATTTGGTTATCGTTAAGCGCTTGGTAATTTATTGTTTAGCAACTAGTTGATTTATCAATTATTATTCTATACATTTTGTTTAAAATTAATAACTAACTTTCAAATATTATTTAATAATAAAAAATTTTTAATATAAAAAATGTTGCAGTTTAATATTTTAGAAAATACCTTTAAAATTAATGAAAAAAAATAATATAAATATATGTATAATATATCAAAGTTACTGTATAATTTGATTTGCTACAGAATATTCCACAAATATTGTATAGTTAATACAAATTATAAATTGTGACTAATCAATTAAATTTATCACACTTCATTTCTCGCAACAAGATGAGTAATACATTATCTGGTAAACGTACTTATCAGATATATTATCAGGATTGGTTATAGTAGTTGCACCTTTTGCTCTGACTGAATAAGCAACCATTGATACCTAGTCTGAATGTGAAATTAAATCGCGAATAATAAAATTACGAATCATAATGTTTAATTACTGTAATATCATTATGTTATTGCTTTTAATCATGTGCAACAAATGTTTGTGTGACATATGCAAAACCTGTATATGTTCTGCCTTAAGTAAGTCCAAAAAAAAAAAGAGAAATCTATAAGGCATAAGGAGAAACAATAAAAATTAATAACTAATAAATAAAACTGATATATAATAAAATTAACAAATATATATTATATTATTACTACCAATCATAAATATTGATATTATATGTCTTTTAAAAGAGAAGATAACAGACTATAAGAAGAATTATAATAAATAAATGATAGTAAATAAAATTAATAATTAGTAAAATATGTATACATTTTTATGCTATTATTAATTATAAATATTTTTATAGGAACAATTATTGATTGCCATGACAAACACCTAGGAGTCAATGATGTCTTTAATTTCGATCTTCTTACTCTTGACCAGCATCAACCATTAAACAAACTTATTCTTTCAAAAAATAACATAGTACTTTTACCTATAAACGAACTAAAAAATCTGAAACATTTAAAAAAATTAGATCTGTCTCAGAATCAGTTGGATAATATACATTCAGATATCTTCAAGAATCTAAACGATCTCGAAGACTTAAATTACTCCCATAATCTATTATGGGGCTTCGATATTTCCATCCTAAACATAGACTCTTCTCTTTCCAAATTTAATTTAAGTCATAATCGGATCAATAGCTTGGAGAGAAGCTCAGAAAACACAACAACCAAATTGAAAGTTCTCGATGTGTCTCACAACAATCTTACTAATCTGGTAGCATATAGCAATTTTATTTAATTATGTCAATAAAAATTATTTAAATTTGTCGAAGATAATTATAATAATAAATTACATAAATAAAAATAGTTATATAATATGTAATTATTTTATAATATATTAATATTATATACTAATCTCTTATTTGTTTCATTTTATTACTTTATAGAATTTTCTTGATGGGTTACCGCAACTGAAATATTTGGATCTCTCCTTCAATAAATTGACTATTCTCCCAACCAAGTCACTGTTCCGCCTGCAGCATTTGAAGATTCTTTACATTAACAACAATCATCTTCTCGATTTAAATCTCCAAAATCTACCATTGTCACTGCTGGAACTTTATGCAGGAAACAATTTTATTAACCACTTATTACTACAAAAATCATCAATTCGTATTTTAAACATTCAAAATAATCGCATTTCTGATATATCTAAAAATTTAACATTATTGGAAGGATTAAAAGATCTAAATATTAATGGAAATTCTTTGTCAAGATTTCCAGATGTTTTTCTGAAAGATTTGGAAATACTGGATTTATCCTTTAACAATCTAACAATGATTCCAGAAACGGTTTCTATTAAGAATTTTCCAAATTTAAGAATTTTAAAAGTTAATGAAAATCGTCTAAAAGATATAAAAATCCGGTCTGAATTGAGATTGGAAAGGCTTGAAGTAAATATTGTGGAGACGATTGAAGAGATTAGTAAAGAAGCATTTCTAATGCTACGGGAGAGAGAGAATGATTGTATTAACATAACTATTTCGAGTAATAAGAAGTTGAGTACAATCGAGAAAAATGTTTTTCAGCATATGAACATTTGTTTTGTAAGTATATTTTATAACTTGTTAGAAAAAATATATTTTTACATATAATTCTTTTTCTTTATTTTTCAGCTAGATTTGAGCAATAATTGTTTTGCTCATTTGCCGTCAGAATTATTTGATGTAAATATGAATTATCTCATTAATCTGCAAGGTAATCCATTTATTTGCAATTGCTCATTGCAATGGATGTTAAATATATTAGTCCCAAAACTTTACTTGATGAAGCCTAGTCTGTTAGAAGATTTAAGGTAATTACAATAATATTAGTTAATATAATTGTAAGTATTATTATAACTTATATTTCACAAATTATGAATAGATATAAATATCAACTTATTTTGTATTTTTATATATTATTAAATTAACTTAATAAGCAAATAAAATAATCTATTTATTTTTAAATTTATAAATTATAGATGTGCTGGTCCATCTCCATTAACTAATAAAAGAATGATTCATTGGTATAAATGGAAGGGAAAAGTTTTTTGCGATGACTTTTCCCATTTCGCAGAAAGAATGACTGTTAATATTGCAAGTATCTCTGACAAACAGGTCGTGACATTCGAAACCAGTCCCGGAATGATAGCTGCTCTGGCCACGGCGATCGCCCTGCTTGCAATTCTAACGATAATCGGCATTCTGCTGACTCAAAGAATGATCGCGAAAAAAAGACGAATTAATCGTAAATTTTAGTAAATAGATAAGGTATCGACTCAATCGTAGATTTGCAGATAGAATAAATCATGTAAATTGTGACAACTCAATAATTCAGTAACCAATTGAAATATCGAAAAAACCCGCTGATGATAAGATCAAAGATAAGAAAAAATGCACATTATTTGTGTGATGTACATTATATACATATCTTTTTCAAATAAAGTCTCTTAAAAGTCTCAAGAGATTACCTCTTTTGAATCCTTTATTAAAAATAATATTTAAATCGTTAGTTGAATCTCTTCGATTTTCTTTATTTTATTGGATCTTTATTTTCTTATAAAAACATGAAGACTGTCATTGAGGGAAAACATATAAAAGATATTATTACTTCCATATAATTTAGTGCAGTTTATATATTCTTGTGTAAATTAACTGTCATAATCTCTAATCCCTTCTTATCTTTTTATTATAGCACTTATTGTAACAGGAACCACACAGTTTGCAATAATATATAATAATTAGTAAATGTAGAAACATATTAAGAATTTTACTTTTACAATTACACATGCTTTGGTAAAGTTACAAAATTCTATTTATTTTAATAAATAAGTTTAACGGTAGATAGCTTTTTGTTTAACAGTTTTAAATCATATTTTCAAAGATATTTACATTTTATTTTTGATTCACACATTTCCATTGTAAAAAAGTTTCTTCAAAGTTTATAATTTTCTTTTATATGTACTAATTAATATTTCTTTAATCACTAATTGATATAAATGATCATAATTAAATTAAATCGATTATTCAAATTGATTTGTATTTACAAAAAATTAAATTATTTAGTCTAATTGAGTTTAATTATAACTTGATTTGGACGCAAGGGTAATTATTAATTTCTTCTTTGAGTCATAAGGTCGATTTCTTTGCGACTATAATGTACGAGAAGAAGACGTTCATGAAATTTCGATTCGATAAAGTCGATTCTCCCACGTTTATAACACATGAAAATGACTCTTATGTCTAAAATTGTAATAATAGGCGCACTTAATTAGTGTCGTCATTAGATATCATCGATTTGCCAATGACTAGACGTCACTCTTGGAGGGGGATTTTCCCTGAGTTCAGTCAGAAAAGTGCAAATGTTTTGATAGTAATTCGGCTGGCACCAGGTTTCGTTATGTGTGCCACCCACGACTGGAAGTATACGTTTGCACGTGCTCCGACAATTCTTGTAGAGGTCCTGCATCATGCGAGGTGGCACCAATGTGTCTGCCAAACCGGAAATGAACAGAGTGGGCACTGTGACTGCGCGAACTTTCAGAATAGATAAATACTGTAATAAAAAGTACGAAAATATAAGAGAGGATATGAGAATATATTGTGCAAAAAATGTGTGTGTATGTGTGGTCATAAATCATATTTATTATTTTAAAAATGTGAAAAAATTTAATAAATTATTATATTTTTGATAGCAACTAATAAATTAAAGAATGACAATATAATATAATAATATTACTTTTATAAGTCACAAATATCGAGAACAAAGTTATGCTACTTTTCAATAAACAATATGCTATATTTTTCTTAAAAAAAGCCCGTAATTTGCAGAAAATCGAAATAATCGTGTACAAAATAATATTTAAAAAAAATTGGAAATTTTCTATCTTTTCACCTTGTTTTTATATACAAAAAGTGGTAGATATTGTAGAAATTTTGATCCGACAAATAAGGTGGCCATATCTGGAATACTAGTGAAGGTGTTTTCGAGTATAAGGCACCAAATCCTCTGCGAATTTTCTTCTTTTGTCGCTAAATCAATTGCTACTGCTCCGCCTATAAATTAAAAAATAATAATTAAAACATAAATATTGGTAGAAATAATAAAATAAAACCTGTTTCCTTACCTAGTGATCTACCAAATATTATAATTTCATTAGTATTAATATCCGTTCTGCTGTACAGATAGTCTATTCCTGCTCGGGCATCCATATAGAGACCCTCTTCCGACGGGGAACCCTGTGACAGGCCATATCCTCGGTATTCCAACATTAGGATATTACACTGGATATTATGATACAGTCCCACTATGTTTTGCAACCTAGAAAAAAATTAATATATTTTATATATTTTTAATATATAAATATTTAATATATTTTATATATTAATATATTTTATATATTTTTCTTACTAATAATATTTTCTTTCTTGTAAATCATAATATTTTCTTACTAATAATGTACATAATTCCATTATTTTTTACATAATAGAGATTATATAGATACAATCAAAATAAGGAGCATTTCTTACAATAATATTATAATTAACGAAATTTCTAAAAATACTTTAATCATTATTGTTGTAATAATATACTTAACTTATTTTTAATATGTGAGTGTGTGTAACAAAAATAGAACAATATTAAAATAAAACAATAAATACTGCATACCGATGGCCCATATTGCCAGCATTGCCATGAAGAAACAATAGCGTAGGTGCTTTCCTCATTCTATCCTCTGGTTGGGAAACAAAGAACATATGTAGCATTGTACCATCTGCAGCTCTGGTATATACACTTTGGTATGGTAAATTAAATATTGAAGGAGCTGGCACGTAAACTCTGGAATGAGACGGCAGTTCTGGATGATAAAGAAGTTGATCTTCCCTGTGGTAGAGTATTCCTGTAATAATATAAAAATGTTACAAATATAAAAATAGGGAACCTTAATATAAAATCGTTCAAATGATAAAAATATTTCTATAAATTAATACTAAAATAATAATAATAAAGGACTTTGTCAGAAAATAATATTTTCTATAACGAGAAAGGTACAAACCAGTTGTGGCAAAGCACAGCAAGAAGAAAGCTAAAATCCCACCATATAACCAATATAAAAGGAAGCAGACAAGGATATAAACTCCACTAAAAGCCCAACACTTCATGGCGACGCTACCCAAAAGTCTCATTGGTCTACTGCGAGTTAAACGTATTCTGAAAGACATTATTTCTATGTTTTGTCTAATTTGACAAAACTCTGCGTTATCTGAACAGTCCAACTGTTTGCAATAAACAGATTTGTCTTGGTTTAAAGACAGCCATGATCCATTAAATCAATCACTGGAATCCTTTACACTCCTGTAGAAAATTCATGTTTTAGTAACAATACATTATTATAATCGTGATTTTTATTAATATTTATTTATTTTATACATCTCACATCAACATTGATGATAAATTTTATAACGTATCTTTATGTGCTAATTAAATTTTTGTTCTTAAATAGGAGGCAACGAATAAGAATCGTCAAAAAATGATAAAATCTTTCGATAAAAAGTTAATTATAATTTTCTTATCTACAGATTACATATGACTAAATGCGAATAAAAAATCGATATTAGATTAATAAAATTGATTACATACGGTTTCTTTTTATCGATTTATAACTTAGATCAGCTTATAGATAAAAATAAAAGAGAATTACATAAATTGTGTAAATTAGAGAAGTCAAGTATACATATTATAACCTAATCTAATCTGTAAGACGATATGACAGTTGAATCACCGGCCACACAAAGTTGGACGACCCAATTAATGGAATTTTTATGATAAAAGCTAAAACGTGAGGATTCATAAAATGACGATTGCTCAAATCACGATTGTTATCATTATACCTTAAGCATCGAGCATTAATTTAATCTTTCACGCGCTAAATTATGCACAAATCTAGGTTAGTTTATACGTATATCTGCTTCACTTTTTAACTCATCGAATGCGCGCGCCATTTAGCGTAATTTTCCTGAACTAGGATGCGTTCAAAAATCCTACTCGTAGGGTAAAACAGCATTGAATTGACCAATCGGAACAAAGAAATCTTCGTCTTTTTTATCCTGATTGGTCAATTAAACGCTATTTTACCCTATGGGTAGGATTTTTGAACGCACCCCTAATTTTCGCGGAGGCTCGAATTTCTTTGATCATCGATGTCTTGGCTTTTGAAGAGGATATAAAGAAAGTGTGGAAAGTGTAGAAGATACAAGTGCCGATCGTAGGACAGAACGTAGGCACGTAGGCCGCTGTCGTGTATGCGAATCGCCGGCGCACTTGCATTTTGATAGTCGTTACGTTGGGAGGTGCATGTACGCAATAACTTCGCACAGCTCATCCGCAGAGGAACATACGCAATGACGGAGATAGTGGTGGCCAACGACGAGGAGCAATTACTCTCGCGGATCTCTAATCTTGTTGCTCGCGCCGCCGATGACGCAATTTCACGTGATGATCGGATCTTTCGATTCGGAGTATCAGGTGATAAGTGATCTCCTACAATTGTTACAAGCCTATCCTCTATCTTCTATTTTTCTTATCATTGCACACCTATTTAGCTCTACAATATTTCCTGTGTATTATTCCCGCGTTTTATAATTCTATAAGTATATATATACTATAGAATATTCGTTAGAATCAGATTTTCGTTTTTGCTAGTGTCTTACGCGAACAAAATAACTCTCAGGTTTTTTTAATTTCACCAAGGTCAAAATTTCGTATTGTCACGGTTCACGAAAATGAATCTTTTGATGTAGAATTATATATTATTTCGTTAAATTCACGATTAAACGAAATACTAAATAATCAACGGAACGAAACACGTTTTTCGTAAAATTGATTTTTGCATGTCTCTGACATGAGAAATTGTGCTTTAACAAATTTATACCGCGATTTTAATCTTGCTCTTCTCTTTTTTTTCAAGTTAAATGTTACACTTTTTACTTTTTACACTTGTTACACTTTTTATGAAATTAACATGCAATTGAGACATTAGCTTTGTCATCATCTCAGTAAAAAAAAAATTCCGATTTTATTTTGATATCTATATGTATAATGAAAATTGAATATATATTTTTTATATTTATTAATATATTTCTATGTTTGGAAAAATTTTATCTAAGATTTAAAAAACTGAGATTTATTTTGTATAAGTATATGACTCAATCAATAAGTATACGACTCAATCAATTAATGAAAAAGAAAGAATATATATGTTAAAGAAATATGTGTAAAATATAAATATATATATAGAGAGAAATGTATAAATATAAATACATAGAAATTGTAAACTATGTATTACATTTACATAATTTCAAAGCTTTATCTCACACACATACATGCTATCCATACAGATAAATTAATGGATTATAAAAATTATTTAAGAATTTGTGTGTTTGGGCTTTTATTGTGTATTAAGAAATATAAATGTTAAACATTTCTGCGAATTTAATGTTTTCATATAAACTTACATATAGAAGATTTTTAATGAAAATGTAGAGAGTATAGCTAAGAAAAAAATACACTCACTGATTAAAGATTAAATGATAGATGATTGTTGATCATGTTCAGCATTCCACATGCCTGGGATTAATTAATCGATTTGACAATAGTATTATGTCAAAATATAATGTTCCATGAGACAAGATACATATTTATGGTGCAGCAAATATATAATATATATTTGATGGAATTTTCCGAAATTTTGTAGGTTAAACAGCTTATACAGATGTCTTAAAAATATGTATGCATAGACATATATAAGAAATGTTTCAAAAAAATATTGACCAAAATTGCTGTTTTAATTAAATATACTTTATTGTATGGAAATTATATTGAAAAGTCTATACCAACTATATTTTAAAAATACATGTCAATATATAGGAGATAAAAGAATAGTTTAGATAAATATGTATAATTAGATTTTTAGAACATTAATCTAAATTTTCAATTTTATTAAAAAGTTAGGCGTAGGAGAAGGGGAGAAAAGATGGTTATATACAGATGATACAAAAAATTGATAAATTATTTTTACTTAATGACTAATTTTCTGTTATTATAGGTGGTTCAGTAGTGGATTTACTGGCCAAGTCTTTGCCTAACATCGCGACCGACTGGAGCAAGTGGCGCTTCTTTTTCTGCGATGAACGAGTGGTACCTTTAGAAAACTCTGACTCTAATTTTGGCCTCTATAAAAGTTGTCTCATTGGAAAAATACCTGTCACTGAGGAGCAATTCATAAAAATCGATTCAGAATTAACTGGTATGTAGTCAACGATTTATTCTGTATTTCTATTGTATTAATAAGAAAAGTTCGAAAAATAAGGACCAAGCCTTAAAGACCAACCTGTGTCAGATATACCTGTGACAAGATTGGACTATGCAGAAACTTCTTACTTTGATAGAGAAACCAGAAACCATTGTATTATCAATTTATTGTTCTTATTTATCCGTTACCAAATCAGTCAAGTTTGTGATGTTTATGGATTAAATGAAGAAATTTATGAAATAGATGTGTATATGCTGTCTTGAAGAATTGATTATATACACTAGCGGCGATGTTTGACTCTTACTTTTCGAGCGTCCTTTATAATAATTGATATATATATATATTTTTATTATATATAATTAAAAATATCTCATAATTATTATTTTATTTAATATTTTTTATATACTTGCAATTATTTTAACCTTCCATTATTTTTTCAATTTTCAATTTTATTTTTATTCACATCTATTGCATGATACATTTTATTTTTTGCTCGTTTTATATATTATCATATACATGCATTTATAATTCTTTTATAAGTTATTATTGTTTATGTTATTTATTTGTCATTTATTTATTTATATGTATTTGTAGTCGAGAATGCGGCGAGGGATTACATTAAAAAAATGGCCTTCTTCTTCCCGCCGGACAGATTACCGAGATTCGATTGTTTACTACTGGGCCTGGGTCAGGACGGGCATACATGCTCGCTCTTTCCGGGTCATCGGGCTCTTGACGATGAGAACATGTGGGTCACATGGGAACTGAATGCGCCGAAACCACCACCTAGTAGGATCAGCCTTACCATGCCGGTCATTAATAACGCTCGCATGTGCATATTTATTGCTACCGGCGCCAGCAAAACCGAAATCGTCAAGGTAATTATTAAATTTTTTAATTAATTAATAATTCAATTAACTTTGAATTTACCTTTACAATTTTATACATTTTGAAAACGCGAGAATAAGAAATATTTAATATTTTTAATAGTAATTCAATATGTGATGGCAGTTAATAATTAATAATAATAATAAATAATAATTAATAGAAATATATTTAATAAAATATATTTAAAGAGAAAATAAAAATTTCTATTTTAGAAATAGAAGATACATATATATCTTATACTTCGCGACTAATTTTTGAATGTACATTTGGGCCCATCTTTAAAATGAGAAAGGGACTAAAAGACACAAGATAATATGCATATCCAACATTCTAATGTTGTCATATGTGTTGCCATTGTGGCAAATATGAATAGTAGGAGAGCAGCACAAGAGAGGGACAGTGGTAATTATTAGGGAACTTGGAAATAAAAATAATATGTAAATATTTTTTCTACCTGTACTGTCGAATCTTCTGGATATCCTATTTCCAGCCAGCTTCTTCATTTAATTTATGAATATCTGTCTTGGATTTGGATATATAGTACTATAGTATCTCCTTGTCACCCTACTTTCTCTTTAATCTATATTAATTTAAATTGGTTATAAAATTATTTTTAAGAATTCTCTATTACCATCTTCTTAGCCATCTGATTCTCCGTAAAATACTTGCCTCCTGACTTGACTTTTCTTATGCTGTTTTCTTACTATTCATATTTGCCGCTTGATTCTTAGAACATATATAATGGAAGGAAGGACATATCCTATTTGATCAAAATTACAGAATTGCACATATAAATTGGGATTGAAAGTCGAACATACACGGAATTTTAGTTTTGTCTATATTAAATTACCTTTTTTATTGTTGTTTACAGAGGGTCTTGAAAGACAAAGAGGATTTGCCAGCCACGAGAGTGAATCCAATTGACGGCACTCTCTTTTGGCTGCTCGATCAGGAAGCAGGCAAGCTACTTAATTCAGACTGAAACGCGAAATTAGCTTAAAGTAAGACCGTTACATAAGATTTGCACCAATTTTATAACATTCCATACCATATATTAAGATCGTCTTGTAATTCCATTGTAAGCCTTTTTTAGTTTGATATTTTAATACATGCTTTTTTCACTTAATTTACTATTAATGTCGATAGAATGTTTGAAAAAGCATGTGTTCCTACCAAAGGTATGTAAAAATAAGTCATAAAAAAATCAAATAAGCAACTTTTGACTGATATTGCTCAATAATATCGTTTATATAAAATGTGTAAACTTTATTGTATATTAGTCTGCAGATTGTAAAAGGACAAAAAGAATTTAATAAAAACAAAATTTGCATTTTCACATCAAAAAAATAAGAGCATTCAATAATAAAAGTAGCAGCTTTGTTAAAATATATAATTTAATACAAAAAAAAATTGATTAAAATTTATTACATAAATACATAACATAAAATACGAGGAAATTTAATCACAGATAGAAAACAAATTGTTTAATTATAAATATTTGATATATCATTTTACTTCATCAAATCATTGCGCTGTTTCTATTTTTTAAGGGGTGGGAGGGAGGAAAAAAATTTATTCCACATGTCGCAAATTTTCAAGCAAAAGGGATAAATAAGAAATATATCTAAATATGGTGCCTATCTAAATATGTATGTATTGTAATATATTGCAAAACTAAGAAAGCTCAGTGCCCCTTTCAATAAAGCAAGAAAACGATAAATTCACAATTATATTATAACATAACGTATTTTGTGATAAATATTATTGCATTTATTTTAATTTGAAGTAATTAATGAAAAGAAGAATTTTGCAATACAATTTGCGTAATTTTAATGTTAATTATCATGAAAGCTAATATTTTATTGGATTGTAAAAAAGTTAGATCATTTCTTATTTTTTGAATCTCTGTCATTTAATTTTTGTTACATATATATATATTATCTGACAATAAAATTTGCGACATGAAACATATACTATACATACCTATTGCTAAACCGCAATGCAATTCCCTATAAAGTAGTTCTTTTGGGATACTATAAATAAATTTCAGCGTTTTTCTTCCATTTTTCAAGTTCGTAAACTTTATTGCCAGATTTATACCTTGTATTTAGACGATTTTTAACAGGTGAGTATTAAAAATCATTTGTATTACACGCGATATTTATTTTTTTAATTTATTCAATCCTAGAATTTTTCATATCTGATTTATATACAAGATATTCTAGAAAAAAGAAATGTAAATGAGCAAAGAGTAATAGCACATTTTTTGCGAGAATTTAGGGAACAGACTTAATTTTTTTGAGAAATAATTTTTTGTTAGAGATTTAAAAAACTACAATATAATTTATAGTTATTTATTTAGTTAAATAAACATCTGAGATTTATAAATTCCTTATATAGTTAATAAAAAAATTAATTTGTTTTGATGTTCTAAACAAAGATGACTACATCGAAGGATTAGTGGCTTAAATATATGGAATTTCAAGATTCTTAACTCTTAAACAAATATTTAATAAAAATAAATAGGATATATTATTTGAAATATATCCTATTAAATCTTAATTTACGATATGAAAATAATCTCGTTATTAAATTCTCTCTATGGATAAATCAAAAGGCATATCTCTCTTATCGCGAACTCCGAGCTTTTTATGTTTTTCAATTCTCCTGTAATAATTTAATATAACTAAATAATAATTAACTAAATTAATTAAATAATAACTAGCAACAATTTTACTTGGTTGTTAATTTTTTCCAAGGGTTGTTATATAATAAAAAGTATACTGTGTAAAAATTTGCACAATCACTAATAAATATTTAAAAAAACTATATATATATACACACATATAAGATATAAATTAAAATTTATGTTTTTGCGACGAATTTTGCGAGAAATCAATTTTATATAATTTAATAACTTATTCACAATATTTTAATAATTTTCTGGAATTAAAAATGATTAATAAAAACTATTTAATATATTCTCTATATGAAAGATTTATTAAGAACTTATTAAGAGAAATTCAATTTCTATTAGAAATTTCAGTTTAATTATAAAATATTACTTTTTTATTCATTCTTGTTTTATTTTTTATTAGTTCCATAACATAAGATGAAATGAATTTAAAATTAAACTCAAAATTGAATTAAAATAAAATAATGTTTTTTTATATATAATTTATAGTCATCATCACTATTTTCCAAACATTTATCGATAACCAATGTGTACGTCCAACTGTGTACGTATTTATAATACATATAAATACATAATATACACAATAGTTTTCATAAGTTCACAAAAATTATCTAGGGGAATGAACTATAATTATAGCAATTCACGAATATATAATATAGTAAATTATAACATAATGGCCGATGAAATCAAATTGACGTATCTACAAAGTACCAATAATCAAATAAAATCGAGATAAAAGATGATGACTATTTATAATAATATATAACAATTGCGAAATTATGTAAAAAAACACGATCTATTGAATTAATATTTCTCGTTTTTATAATATATATATACATATATTTTTTTCCATCTATTATAGGATTTTTTCATCATGCTTCTATGAAAACCTCAAAATATGAAATTACATTTTTAGAATTCCATAGATAAATATTATTTTGCAAAATCATACAAAATTTGTTTATTTCATAAATGTTACTTCAATGAATCAACTTATTTTACATAATTTAGCAATCATCACATAATTTACAAGATCTCGATATAGACAAACCAAGCGAAAATTCAGTTTACAATCATATACATATCACAGTATCAATGTATAACTCGATCCTCCATTCTTGCAATTAAAACGAAATTCTTTAGATTGATATTACATCGCTTTTACAAATGGTAGATATAAATTTTTTGTGGACATTAAAGTCAGACAAGTAAAAAAGAGAGAAATTAGTGATCTGATAAAATAATGATCTGATGTATCAATAAATAAAAAAAAATTAAATTAAAAAATTGAGAAAATTAAATTCAATACCATATTTTTACTTTTAAGGGCACTATTCTATACATGGTTACCGATAAATTACAATAAACTTTATAATTATATATAAATAGATAATTATAATAATATATATATAATATGCAAATTCTCTTTTTTTGTACTGACTTGAATGTTTCCATCGGTAAAATTCATTTTTATACTAAATAATAATCGAGAACTGGCCTTTCCTCCTTCGATCACTGTCACTTAAAACTTGCTATTTAGTATATTTGTTTACAAAAAGAAAAACAATACTTTTTTTACACATGGAACACACTCTGCCTTGTACTTACTCTTTAAAATCAGATATTGTTACATTACAGTAATAACAATATGTATGACAGCAATTGCAAAAAAAAATTGGTAATTACGATGTTATATTATTTCACATTTATTTTTTGTATTATTAGTTCATAGTTATTTTTTGTATAATTTATTAATATTAAAATATTAAAGTATATTTAAATTTTAATAAATCATAAAAAAACTGCGAGATATATAGAACGCTCGATTTATCTAAGAAACTTTTCGAGTTATCAATAATAATAAATAAAGATCGCATTTTTTTCTTTATCTTTTTTTTTTCTTTGAGATAAAACGAAAAAGATAGAACGAACATGTTTAATCAAACGGCCATATATTCGTCTGTCGATGATTATTTATGTCTAACAAAAAGAGAAGAGAGAGAGAGAGAGAGAAGAAAAAAGAGAGAATAAGTTAATTAATTAAATTAATCCTAGTATGCATATTCATCACGTCATGTTCACGCCTAGTGCCTGCCGAAAATGCTCATATACTACATAGCTAATAGACACTGCAGGTGCAACCTACAAAAAAAAAATACATATTTTAGTAAAAGAAAATATAATATAATTTTTTTTTTTATTTTAACCTTCATTATTTCTGTATGTTGAACATAGATGACAATTAGAATTTTATATTTTTTTATGATAGGGAGAGTAAGCGCAACGCAGAAAACCAATCAACATTATAAATCATAAATTTTCATTATTTCAAATTTCGACATTTTACATTTTCTTAAGAGCGAATTATATAAATATGAAGAGTATAGCATTTATTTTGCAGAAAAAATACAAAGGAAGAAATGTGTAATAAAATATATAAGATTGATTAAAAATAAATTCTAAGTAAAATGTTATTTTTTTTTTTTTTTTTAGAGAATCTGATTATCTCGAAATAAAGTTCAAATATTGAAAAGATCGGAGTTTATATATTAAGAACATATTTATATTTTTAATAAAATTTCTTTCAGATAATCTTAAGGAAGTGCAGAAAGTGCAAAAAATAAAGTTGTATCACAACACAATTATAAAAAAATCTATTTGAAGTAAATAATTAAATTTGTGTGTATATAAACTTCAATATATTTTATAAATAACATTCTAAATTTAATTTTTAAAAAATCCATAAAATTTCTATATATATATATATATATATAATTTATTTTGAGTTGATCATACCTTAAGAAAGTTGGGTGTGAGGCCGCGATACAGGCCGCGTATTCCTTCACGGTTCAGAATGTCTTTAAAAACACCCGTCATGGTATTGGGCAAACGATCTGGCGCAATTTCGGCTTGCAACCGCGTTCGTACCAGTGCCAACGGATATGAACACACCTGGCCTGCTGTACTCGACGCTGTGCCACACAACAACAGAACCCAAAACGCCGGTTGTTCTTTCTTATCGTGTGTACGTAGGTAATTATTTTTCAGGGTCTATGGAATGAATAAATAAATCGTGTATCATGCAAATTAATTCATCGATTCAACCTCGGAAAATTTATCTTGACATCGACTCGAATACCAATAGTGAGTTAGATAATCGTATAAATATATATTTTGATTTCGCGCGCACGGCGCATAAATAATATTAATAACTACAACAAATATATTGTATAACGAAATCGAAAATATAATGTAAAGAATTTTTTAGTATTTTAACTTACTTCGTAGACGGCTAAATCGATGCCGGCATATGGAAGTATTCCTATCAAATTGGGTACATAGCCTCTGTAGAAGGATTTTAAGCCACCTTGTTTATATATTTTTTTAGCCGCATCTACCATACCGTTAAACTCGCCCGTTTTTCGCAGCGCGAGTCTCGTTTTCAGTACCTGTAAAATTATTTGTTACATATCTTTATTCTCATTTCTCTCTTTAGAGTTTATTTCATACAAATGACTCTTCTCTCATTACATCCCATATATACCCTTTGCGTGCTGTTGCAAAGGGGTTCCGACGACGTGCGGAGGTGCGAGCGATTGCGCCGCGATTATTTTTCATTGCTGCGCTCTTTTCGTGTAATCCACTCCTGTGTTTGCTATTTTAATTAGGAGGCGGAACGTTTATTATCTGTGTAGGGGTAGAAAAATCTCACCGCGGAATTTCTCAAAAAAATAATGCAAACGTCATTATGTTCGAGTCTTACACAAAGATTAATAAAAACTTGTTTACATTTGATAAAATATTTAATAAAATAATTATTGCAATAAAATTATTTTTGTTTTTTTATAGCAAAATCTGAGCCACTATTTGACAAATTATTTAGCTACATATCATCTTATGACGTGTATGTATGTATATATATTATCTTATCGCATATATATATATATATATATTACATAACTTATACTCTTTTTATATTTTTTTCACTGACAATCTGATATAAGCTAATATAATGTGATGATATAAGAGTCATAGTACATAACAAATTTACATGGCTTCTCGCATCTGACATCATGATTCAATATAGCTGCAACGAGGAGTCATAAGATAATGGGATGTACCTCGAGAGGGTAGATGGCCGATTGGCTGATACCGCCAGCCATTGAGCCAGCGCAAAATCTCTCATAGAGTCTGAGTTCACGCGCCTCGTTGTCCGCCTTGATAGCTCGCTTCACTTGCTCGTACGCCATAAACTTGAGTGCCGTCTCCGGACCAATCTTGAGCACGTTAATGCCATTGCCACGCCACAAGCTGCTAATGCCACCCTCGCGCAACATGTACCTGAAGCAACTCATGATATTGCAGTGTCGTGTGCCGTGGACCTGCAAGGACGATCGGACGAGTCTCTCGTCGTGTTAAAGCAAACTAGACAAATTTTTTCGCTCGCTCGCTCGACATGTTGCCAAGCGGATCGCTTTTTTTTTTTTTTTTTTTTTT